AAAGTACACACATATTCCAAGGCGGGGAGAATGTCATGACCATATAACCCATGCCTTTGCATAACCAATTAACTCGTGATTCTCGCTCTATTTTCAGCTCATGTACTACAGTTATTAGACGATTAAAGCGTACATTACGTCTTCCTATTCTGTCTCCTTTCTAATCCCGTCCTGGAACTACTCAACTCTCGCAACAGAACCCCACAAAGAACTCTCTAAATGGACGCGCGAAAAATGTTCGTGAAGTTTCACTATATGTCAAAATCTCCAAAAGGACGTAGCTGTTCGAGTATCCTACAAGAGCAATCATATGGTGAATACTCCGTTCAGCTTTAGAACCCTGTGAATCGTAAGTTTACCCTCAGTTGCTTTTGCTAACTAGAAGTGATGTGCAGCTTTGCGAGCAAAGTTCGTCCAGAAATTTGATTTCAAACCTTACCAGTTCCACTGGAGTTGTATTGACCTCTGTAAAGGGAAGATGGAACAGGCTCACCAAAACATATCACAAGGGCTGAGATAACCCATAACGCGGCAAAAAAGTCATACCTCAAGTGAAGGTATGAATGCCGCGTCACCAGTAGCAAAGCGCTTGATCACTATGGGTTACAGGGCGAGCCGCAAAGCTGCATTCGGAACTCTGAATCATGAGTGCATCTAGTCATGGCATTCACTAGAGCTTTTCTCATCAAAAAATGAAGTAACCAACATTGTTTTCGCATAAGTTTTTGGCTCAAACAATTTCCCTAGCGTGGCATTTTAATCGTCCCACCCTTTATGGACCGAGTGACGCTGACGGCTGTTATTATACTAGCTTGCTTTTTTTACGCAAAATTTGGAAAAAATGCAGTTGCATAGTTGAGGTCTCTCTCTCTGGCTTGATGAACCCGTAAACTATCTTTTAAAAAACCACATACTCAAGTTAGCACATTCGGAAATGAAATCACGGAACGTAGAAAACGGAACATACCGAGTGTGATTGTATCGGAAGTCAACGTGAGATCTGAATTCTCCGTCACTGCCAGATATAGTAACTGATAATATCGGTAGATTAATAACGGTGGGAGTAATTCCTCTGGACGCCGGCGAACGGTAATCACCACTTCATTTTGACCCAGAGAATCGAAACCGCGGGAAGCGAAGCACCAACTTGACTGTTTGACACAGCAACTCAGCTGTGTGGCATGCACGTAAACGTGTACATTGCGTGTTATTGCGAGGGTGATGCCGGGAGGAATCCAGTCAGACGACTAGGAGAAAAGAGAAAAAGAAGAGAAGAATCCCTGCCGCAAATAAAAATTAAAAGAAGGGGCAAGGAAATCACAGCAAGGTACATCCTACTAATCAAACCTTACACATAAACTTCACCCTCAGAAAACGTTCGGGAGATCTGACCAACTGAGCCTAGTCAACATGGCCAACGAATTTAGGTTCGTGCTACTACTGTAGATTGAATAAATGGAGGCAAGTACACATTGTTACATTGGAAATTTCCATCTGTTTCGATTCAAGCTTCAGGTTCCGGTAACAAACAGACCGACAATTTCGGGGAATAGGGAGTGCCTGGACTATCAAACTTCACCATCAAGACAGTACAGTGTGTTCCGGTAGGTAATCAGTACCGTAGATGTATCTTACATGTCACTGGAAGGCAGTGATCCACTGAACCCTAGGTACATGATTGTATCCGGGTTATGCGTTACTCCGGTTATGGTGAAAAACCATCGGAGGAACTAAGAATACTTATATGGATTCCCCGTTTATCCCATAATCTTAAGACATGTACGCAATATCCTCGTAGTACAGTGCTACCTTCACTTGATTAGCCACAATCGGAGCCAAATGCGTGAGCCAATCAGCCATCTATTACCTCTACCAGAAAACAAAATAAAATGGATATAGACAGTATGTATCATTGCCGATGCACATGAGAGGAAAATCCTGATTTTTTAAAAACAAGGTTTGCAGAATTGTGCGCGATGGTAACCTTGCAGTAAGATGTAACCTTCGTCGAAGGAGAAGACTTTAAAGGAGTCCGGAGTGGGGCATATTTTGGATGGTCACCGAAACTGCCATGAGTTTGCTTCGCCCAGCAGTCCCGAGACTAAGGGATATGTCCATTGCGCTTTACAATGCTCTAGCGTATATGTTTAGAAAAGAATAGTTGTGCCATGCACAGAAGGGGCACTTTAGTCTACTTTGTGACAACTGATCAAAGTATACGTTGCAGCTGAAGTTGTGGGCCTGGACACCATGCCTGAAAGTGTGAATTAGCTGCCGTCACGGAGCAGCAACAGGATATTATTGAAGAGGATACGTTAAGCTTACATCCACAGGGCGAAATGAAGCCCTATACCAACTCTGGATGCATTCCAACGTTTGGCGACTATGTGTACTTTTCGTGAAAAGCGCTGGTGTACACTCAGTTAGGTTCACCAGATAGTTCCAAATGCATATTTTTCATGAGACTAGTTCATTCTAGTCGAGCTTAATGCCCCCTCCTACTTTGACAGAGTAATTCGGAGTTCAACAGGATTAGAGAGCAGAGAAAGAGATTAAGAGTCATCTTGATCGAAGAGGATAATCGCACGTAACAATGAAGTAGGCGAAAAACTCACTTGAAAGGACGCTTCTTTCGAGTCGAGGTCGTCAAGGGACCCATATCCTTGTGGATGGTTCCCCTGGAGCGGTTTTATGACATCGTTCTGTTTCTCACAGTCCAGTAGCGAGATCAGGAGTGCTGGTGAAGGACTGTACTGCAGCACCAGTTCTGAGAGCAAGATAACAGAGCAGTAGGTTTCAAACGAGTAAAGAATTCACGGAGTGAAAAGGTGATACCGACATATAAGCAAGAGAATAAGCGTTGTGGCGAGATGGTTGCTATTGATCGTCCTAATTTGTGTGTACAAAAGCGATAGCTAACTAACTATTCATTGAATTGACAATCTATCTACGCATGTATATTTTTATTGCTTACTCTATGTTATTAAGATCACTATGACCATTCTGCCTTTTATCACCAAGTCCCACAGGCTTCATCTTTGTTACGCCCGTACAACATGATTTTATTAGTGTACACTAAGTGACCTAGTAACTCACGCCAACCCTAAAACGCAACGACTTTGCGAATGCCCTCCACAGTAGTTAGGCTCAATATCGCAGGAGTAACAGTGAGACTGTGATTGAAATATATGTGCACAAAGTACCTTACACCTCGGAATGGACCCTCTTTGGCTACTAAACGAGCATCGAGCAGTTTAAGCTGTAAGTAGATTTTAGTATGAATGTGAGGCTCGAAAGATAAAAATGAAAGTAGCCGGAATGAAACGAGTTTGCCTTACCAAGACAACTCGCCTATGGTCATGAAAGCGAAAAAGGCACCAGTGAGGATAAAAACAAATGGGATGCGCTACCTGCATGAAAACTGACAACCAGCGGTGGCCATGCAGCTAGGGTCTGGGAAGTGGCATGAGTGGTTGCCATTTTGTCACCAGATATTGGATCCGAATCAATGGGATATAATAAAGAATCGCATCTAGCACGGAAGGTCAGTTCTAGATTATTAGTCTTCGCGATGAATGTGTTGGGCCGATAGTTTCCGAAGCCATCCTCGGGCGAACTCGATGTAACACAAGGGATAACAGTGGAATCGTTGTGCACCGGAAACAAAAAACACCTACGAAGTGTAGAGCTGCAGGTTCCTGTGACAGACCGCTGGCGTTTAGGAGAGTGCAACTCAACCGGTTGTAATGGCGTATGTCGTTTCAGGTTCCCTAGGTAGAGAGCAAAAAATAAGTTATACATACGTAAACATCAACGGCATCAATTCCATCTAGGGTGGATCGCAAGTTCAGATTACCACATACGCAGGGAGGTAGGTCTTACGGAGGCATAGCTTGAAAGTGGTAGCGTGAACAAAAACCAGGACCAGTACTTACGTAACGGTTAATTTACTCAAACATGAATCCATCAAGCTATTTTTCCAATATGCGCAACGTAGCCTGCTGAACTATGTTTGCGTCACATAGAACAATTGAACATGTACCGACGCAAACAATGCCGATCATTTCCAGTTTCTCAGCGCTTTCGTTAACATTCTGCTATTACCACCCAACACAAGACCACCTTTAACAGTAAATGCAAGAAATGCAAAGAAATGCTGGAATGTGGTGCGAAACAATTTTGTATCGCCCATCATTTTCAAGGCCTAATGGTTCCTTGAAATTTCATTCAGAAACATATCATTGAAGAACGCTCTCCGCCAAGATGTTCGGCTTACTATGTATATCCGTGACCAAACTTACAGTGACTTTCATCCGAACCAAAGTATAAAATTGATCCGAGCAACATGAAACTGCGTTGGAACTGAAGATCGACAACTTCACATGTACTAACAAGCAGGGAGTTTAGATTTTGCCTGCATGATCCACATCATCATTGTTGTGGTCAACAACACACCAGTAGTAAAAGTGCATGGAAAGAAGTCCCAGTTAAGCACGAAAAAGGTGATAACTCACCACAGAAAGCCATACGACCCTAGGGGAAACGTTTGAAAGCTAGATGCCTCAAACAAACAACGAAACGAAACGGAACACCTGAGCATTCCGTTGGAAATACCATCAGTGGTGTCAAATACAAACCTTCTTACAAAAAGACAAACGTCCAGTCTTGTACGACGTCAATGAAAGGCAATAAATAGGTTCTCATGACTCAAAGGTTTGTCTGCTCTTCGGTTCTCTTCACTATAAGGGTGTCCTTACTAGCAATGATACACTGATACAAGCTATGGAGAGGCGAAATGGCTGTGGTTAGAGCGCGAATTTACTGACCGGAAGGTCCGTTGTTCGAATCCGACTTCTGCATCCTGACTTTGCAAGCTCTAGCGCTACTGTAAAAACCTGCTCTCTACACTCGTGCCTGGAGTGAAACGGTCTGTTTGGATCATCTGAACTCAGCTTCTTCATCAATGAAGCTACCACTCCTCAAGCACTCTGTCCAAGTGGACCAACCCAGTACCAAAGACCACACATGCGTGCGGTTGCCAGTAGTTGATTTCATGAGATTCTCCGAAAGTTCTGTTGCACTCACCCGCTCACTTTCTCAACTGTCTTCAAGCATTAACAGTCGTGCTAGAGATTGCTTTCTACGGTTACAATTTTAGAGTGTTTCACCACCTCTGTTCAACAGGAGAGAAAATCGCAATCAGTCACGTTGGTGAGATTTGATTTCCGACTGGTCATTGACATATCTCCAGAAGGTAAAATACGCTCCCTGAAATCCGACGGTAGCGCCTCACTCCTGAGAGGAGAGTTTTTGTAATGCTGTGTGCGGAAGCTTGTGACGAAAACTGAACTCGTAAGATGTGATTCCTAGATGTAATTCATAGTCAGCAGGTTGCTGACTAATTATTGACTCGAACGTTTGGTCTAATTAGCCACCGAATCTCGCGAATGCTCCCGAAATAACGAAGCCACGAGCTTGGAATTTTACTGGATATTCACAGTTGTTGTTCACAGGTGTTATCGATTGAGATCATCATATCATCATCATCAACGACAGCATGACAGCATTGAAAATTCCATCATGATTGATAATAAAAATGACCTTGCACTCTATTTCACCTTTACTTCGACCTCAAAAGTTAACCACATTTCGAGACGTGCTCAGCGATCTACCCATAGGATAGCAAATCCTATTCGAAGAGGCCGGATAATGAAACAGAGAGTACGTGCGGTTGTAAACTTTATAACAAAGTTTTGTGGTACACATACTAGTTCCAGTTTAGTGAGTAAAAGAGCAGTGTTTGGACTTTGGTGAGGATTGTCTTAATGAGGGAACCAGCTGAACCATCCTAAGAGGACTAATTCCAAGCACCCCATGGTGTTGCACTTTGAAAAGAGAACATCCTTGGCAGTGAGGGGTGAGAAGTTATAGAACTCGTCTTCATCATGGTTGTCTGGAATCACTGAGAAAGTAGGGTAACCAAATCTAGCGATAGGGACAATAGAAATCGACCTTAAGATAGATTCATAATTCTTGAGCGCATTTTACAGTTTGATATGAACCTGGAGTACAACCAGTAAAACCGAACACAAAACCGAAGGTGTATTTACACTGTATGAGGAAATCAGGAACATAAGGGTAAGAAAGGAGACAATGTAGATTCCTGATTCACACCAATGCCAGTGAGTGGGAGGAAGCGATCCTTTGGCCACTGTGTCTACCACCCAACGTCAGTGTTGAACACTTACGCTTCGCTGCCGTACAACCATAATTTATTTGAGCCTTGTTAAGAGAACAGTTTAAAGTGCATGGGGAGGGGATCTACTGCTAGCCTACTGCAATCATCCCGAAGTGCCTACAACCCCAGGCACTCATTCAGGAACCCTGGATAGAAACTATCAACAAGAACGCCACTGACGCCTGTTAGCAGCCATATACGGGGGAAGGGCGTTCCCGGTATTCTTCGCCTCTTTGGTTTCATTAGCCTTCCGCGTCAACCAGATCCGGTAATTCCCAAGGTTGAATTATGTGCGACATTGATTGAAACATTTCATCAAAAATCAATTAGGGTCACTGTTCTTTCTGATAATGCTTGAGTGAGGCCGGAGGGTTCGTGTTGCGGGCTTTGAATCTTCAGAGGTTTGCATCCGAAAAAGAGAACAGAGTGATGGAGCATTCAGCTCAACGGCTGCGTGCGGATCTTGAATTATTATTCTGATACGCAGCGAAAAATTTTCGAGCGAGTCCACTGGGTGAACAAGACCAGCCTGCTGGCTCATCTGCTTTAGAGCTAAAAAAACTAAAGGTAGCCAGTTAAATCGAACATAGAAACTTCAAGGTTAACTTTGAGCTGCACAAGGCTGTCGGCACCGGCTGATGTACATATATCATTGCCGAGGCTCTTGCAAGATGAATAGGATCGTCATCCCCAATGGACAAGCTTACAAACAGAGTACTATTAGTGGGTGACGGGGAGGAGTGTGCGAAAAAAAGGTTGGCGTCAACAGTAGTCTGTTGCCGCTTACCTGTCCACCCGTACGCAGCAACTAAGGCGACCCGGCTGATGATACCAGTCGACACCGATGTGACAAAGGATAATATATGGTCGTGGAAATCATGGTTGTACGCAAAAGGGATGTCAGGGCACCCAAACCTAGACAGATATGTGACTGAGACCCTCAACCAAAGCAGTTGGCTAAGAAGCCTGACCACAAGGCGGGGGGAAGGAGGAAAGGTAGTCAGGACCACTAGCTCTACCAGACTTAAGTTGTTTAGCTTGCTGTAGACCACATTACCTGCTATACTGACCGTATTACTGGACTCTTTGTAGGTGCCAAACGCAGCGGTTGGGTTTGAGGCACCAACAAATTCGCATTTTAAGACGAATATTTGCAAACACCCACAAAGCTTATTTAGAGCATTTCACATTTCACGAGAGATTTTACTGCCAGGTGGCGCTTCCACGTAGATTTCAATCAAAAGCTGTATTTCCACCTTGGCTTACGCCACCAAATTCTTGACCATCATTCCTCTAAGCTTTCTCCTTTAGCCTCCGAAGGTACTTGAAAAGAGAAGACGAAAACATGTCAGTTTGAGTAATATCTCTTGGAGTCACCAAACATGTGATACTAATCCCCAGGAGGAATTGTTCGATAAGTATTTCACGTTTATGATACTACCATGTAGAACAGTTATAGAAAACGAAATGTGGACCATGACAAAGTGAATTACACAGTAGCTGTCCGCCATCTCATGAGGCAGAGCAATTGCAGTCGACACTGCTGCAAGTTAGCCACAGAACTCAGAAGCGGTTCAAAATTCCCGTTAATGCTCATAAAAAGGGCGCCAAAATCAAATGCCTTCAGATCGGTGGCCAACTGAAGGCCTACTAAAGCACGATTCCCGTCAGGCATCACTCAACCTGGTAGGCATTGTTACATCAGATATGCATTGTGTAACTTACGCTGTATCGCATAAGGTCTGCACTACGAACCTCCCAACCTAAATATGTTACTTTGCCGTGCGCGACCGTATTAGGAGTCAGGTAGCTGTACCATCAACCCTGAGACCTCAGGACAGACCAGTCCACCTACAGCAAAGCGAATCAGACTATTAAGCCATTAGCTCCTTTAAGAAAGCCCAAACAACATCTGCCTCGCGGTTCATATTTTAGAGTCACAGGCAGGGAGGTCTATCATCAACTTAAGCTCTGGAAGGACACAATGAACCGAGTGGGATGCTATGCGAGTCCCCCATGGGCAGCAGAAAGCCGGTATGTTGTTTTGTTGCTCCAGCGTAACAAAGCACCTGGTCCCAGTGGCATGCTTCATATGCTCTCTCAATCAGGTGGCGAGTCCCTCGTGGTTATCCTGATGGGTTGTCCAAAGGACCTAGAACGCGGAAAACGTGCCGGGAGAATGGTACACCTCAACAGGGATTCCAAATTTCAAAAATAATAAAAAGCCGTCTTGTAAAAACCACAAAGGGACACAAAGTGGCCATAGTTTCCCAGATACTCTTTGGTATTATCCTACGAAGGTTGAACAAATAACGAGTGAGAGTCGCGAGAATCAAATTGGGCTTCGTCCTCACTGAGGTAGCGTTGACCATTTCCTCATCTTGCGGCGAGTTCTGGAATATCCCCCAAACATGGTAGCTTTTTTCGATCTCACGCATTCGATCGACTTTGATGAACGTCAGAAACTGACAAATTCCGGTTATGAATGGTGTCTCTTTCAACTTGTTTACTTTTGTAAGGGCTCCAATTTGCCTCCTCCTTTGGACGTGTCTACAGCAAATTCTTTCGTGAGTTCGCCATTCCATTAATGTCAGGCAAAGGTTCCCCCTCTCACCATTCCTCTTTAACTCCATAATCGACATTCTGCTCGACTTTACCCGCCTCTAACCCTTCGGAGATCAAAATACTCCCGAGGTGAACGTTCACGGACAGCGAGTATGCCGATAATGTTGCTTTTCTCTGGAGATGCAAACTACTTTAAATAAGCAAAACAGTTTCGCATTTTATATCTACAACATCTCCCAACCATAAATTGTGAAGTGTTGCTGCCAGATTGGGTGGCATCGAACTCAGGCATTATGCTTACCGGTTAACCAATGTGGTAGATAAGTTCGTCTGTCTGAGTAGCTATACAAGTCCCTGAAGACTGATGAATGATATAGTCACTTTCCGAATAGGAAGGAACTGGACGGCGTTTGCCAATCTCTGGCACTCATGGCGCCAATACGACATCATCTTGGCTGTCGAGTGTAGAGTGTACAATGCCGCGATCCGAGCCGTCCTAATTCAAGGATCAGAGATGTGGTCGCTACATGTGGAGGATCTTCGACAGCTCTGTGTCTGACCACCATTGCCCCGAAGCATTGCGTGGGTCTGGTTGGCGTTGAGGTACGCTAGATAATTTTCTGGAAAGTCTAGTCTTCCTCGATGGATCAGCTGGTGACGTTCCATAGGTCACATTGGTTAGGCCACGTAGTTCATGTGTCAAAGGACCGCACGTACTGTATAGCTCTCTTCTCTCAGCCTAGATTTCGCTGGGGAGAAACGAGACTTGGTAATGAAGCACAAAAGTCCTTACCAGTCCACTGAGTTACGTCAATAAATACCGTCTCCCAGGATGAAAACTGCAGGACCCTGACAAATACAGTTGCGTCCCGTGGCCACTGGCGCTCTTGAATCGAAGCTATCACCTTCAGTGCGTTTCTTCCACCTCCTGCTATATCGGACAAGCAGAAGCAGTTGAAGTAAACTGAGTGGGCCGTAATCTGCAACGGGTGGCTCTTATCGCCTTATTATCCCTACCCCCGGTGCACCAGCTGGAGACACTGTGCTCCGGTGAACGGTTTGTGAGCTGAAAACAGAGGGGCTGACCAACAACCTATACAAGCGGTGAGAATTCACTTGCATGGACAGAAATGCACTTTTATGGAGGTTTTTTGAAGTCAAAATTTTGTAAAACGAACAGTGCTGTCTGGAATTTGATACATCAGTGAGAAAGGCAAAATCATAGCATGGTAGCGAGTATAAAACCGATCAATGGGTGGTCTTATTGAATGAAATGCACTCACTCACAAGTGGGTGATAACATGTGCCATAGAGGTTTCGCGTAAACACTGCGCAGGGTGACGGTAATAAAATGTATTGTAAAAGTGTGTCAAAAAGTAAACAATTGTGTTTGGTAGTATGTGTCGTGAAACAGGGTTATTGTACATTGCGGATAGAACCCAAGTACACACCAAGGTGATATTGACAGGAGACTTAGCTGAATTTCGCATGTACAGTACTTCTCAACTGATTAGGTTGAACGAAGTTCACTTAGCGTCTCAGATGGGAAGATATCCAAGCAATCAAGGCAGTTTTGCTCACACGGAACAAACCATTACATTTTTGAAAATTCTTGCCATTTGTAGGGCTTACCAAGAAAGTCTAACTGATAGAGCTCTATTAGTCTTACTTCACACTCCAACATCAAATTAGATAAATGTGTAGACAAATCGGGCTGGCGTTAGCGGAGTAGTGCGACAACACAAAAAAATCGTTCAGCTGTAGCACCCTTTCGGTGCCCAACTGTCATGTCATCCAAAGGGAGCACTAGGGCTGGGATAGTGCCAGGTTGCCCAGGCCTAGACAGGGGAAGTCGAGAGGCATCACAGAAGATAATCCGATATCTTGAATAGCTTCTCTACTATGTGCAGAACAGTCAGTTGAAGGATTTTAACGAATGGTGATCCGGTTGGGTTACCCGTTAACATCATCCCGATTGGCAAATGAGTGTTTTCAGGCACAAAATAAGACTGAAGCAAATTCGAAAACTACTTCATTCTAATGAGCCAAGGAGAGCCGAAACTGGTATCGGGTTGCCCATGAGTCTTCAAAAATGCTACATATAGTAATATGTCAAGCTGAACTGCATAAATTGGCCAACAAAAAAGTTTTTAACTCGTCCATTGTTGAATACGTACTTCCGTCAGAATTCAGTGACCGATTAGAACCCACCTGCAGTAGACTCGGAGATAAGGCGTTCTGCTCGAGTTTGTGATGAATCCTCCGGCGGCTTTGGAAGTATGAAAGGTTTTACGCGCTGCGCAGAAAGTGGGGAAGAGGGCAGTGGATTGGCACTTTGGACAGACAGCGCGCAAGGACGCCGTGGAGTACGCATATACGAGGGAATGGGTAGAGAACTCGGGCGTTTCACAGAATGTACGGGCAGTTGTGGTCCTTGTGAGGTATCTGCCAGTGGGCGCGTATGTCGTTTTTGCGAGTTATTCGCAGAAGCCAACTTTGACTGGGGCAAAGCCGATAATTTGTCCGATGGTGACTGGTTTTGGGAGAATGCTGAAGTCACTTCAAACGTTATTGATGAGAAAACGGAGGCCGTAGTTGGTCTGCTATTCGAGAATGTCTGCACAGAATGTGCAGGCTGTGGCTGCGATGCTGGAGCCTGTGGTGATAATTTTGAAATGATATCAGCTGTTGAGCTGCCGCTCTGAGAGACTAAAGGAGAGGAAGGGTTAAGAGAAGGAAATGTTAGTTCCATTTTCAAGTCACTACAACGGACCACCGTATCGTTTTCCGCGGATGGCAGGTATAATTTTGGATGATATCAGCTGTTGAGCTGCCGCTCTGAGAGACTGAAGGAGAGGAAGGGTTAAGAGAAGGAAATGTTAGTTCCATTTTCAAGTCACTACAACGGACCACCGTATCGTTTTCCGCGGATGGCAGGTAGTTGTTGTCACATAGCCCACAGAAGGAATCATCTTCCGATGGGTGAGTTTCAAGCGTGCACTGCCCAGCGGAGGACGATGAAGTCGATGTCGTGATCACCGGGAATGACATCAAAGAGAATGATAGATCACAATGTAAAGTGACTGCAGCTTCTTAAATAGGTTTCAACTGATTACACATGAGTTCCGAATAAATCACCTGTGGATTGAAAGTAAAAAATTGCAGTAGACAGACACTCAACGTTGGTCAAGAGACTAATTCACAGAAGAGGGTAAAACAGCCGGACCAGAAGGCTGTTTGAATTACGAGAGGAAGGCTGCCTCTCAAGTGTTCCAAATTGGGTCAGCTTGGTGGATATTTTGGTGCATATGAGGTGTCAGGATGAAACACGAGATTGCTTGATTCGAGTAGAGAAACAATAAAAGTTAGTTTCCTGGAAAATTGTGATTGAGATACCTAGGGACGAGGACATGAGGCATGAACTGCTTTCCGGAGATAGGAATCAACCGGCCTACAAATATGGTAGAAGTTTGAGTTACGGTCTGAAGTGTGTTAAAGTGTTATCAGGTTTATTTTTTTTTGGTGCCAGTATTAATTAGTGGTACTAATATGACACTGTTGCCGTGGGTCTATTAAGACTAACAATAAATTAACAACAGCTCCCTCAACATCACTAGAATCAACTGAGGAATACGAGAGAATGGGACGAGTCTCACAGGGGCCAGTGTTGCGAACCGGCTTCACACAGGCCCGAAGTTGGAAACACCGGCAAGGAAATCCACACTGGAGACATTGATCAGTTGAAAAATCAGTGCTGGCACGGACAACAGGGACACGGTGAACGGGGCGGCAGGAACCACGGGGATGGTTCTAAAACAAGTCATTTTACGTCCAGCATAAATATAAACATGCATGCAGAACCATCCACAACGATATATACCAGCGTTTTGCGTATACCCGAGAAGGCGCAACGAAAAGCAGCAACAAACAAGTGAATAGTCGGGGTCCATGGTGGCATCCCAAGAGGAGCAGCAGGTGGTGATAGACCCTTATTCCCGGTAAGTGACAGTGACGTGATCTATTTAGATTCGGGAATGGTTGTTGGTGGGCACCACGTTTTTAAGCGATTTCCGACTCCGGAAATTGGTACCGCAAAAGGATAGTCTGCGATCGGCATAGATTTCAAGCAGTCGACCTCTGTTGTCCGTGAGCCTCGTATGTGATGTAAGACGACCACCCAATCTGACCTCAGTAGCGCTTAGTCTGCCTACCTGAGCAACCACAATGATGTGAGCTTCTAGCCCATTGTAAAACAGCACCCAGGTCGTCAAAACACTGTCGTTGGAAGATCCAGAGCTACAATCCATTGGGACGTAAGCAGGCACAATATACAGGGTGCAATGGACCTCACTTTCTCGAGATTATTTTATATGCGTTCCCATTAGAAACGCCCTTGCTAGGTCGTTCAATATATTACCCACCCCAGTATAACCAGCTAAAGCAGACTTTGCATCATCAGACAGCGAGGGAGTAGCCAGTCCAATCACAGTACTTGCGTTCTGTATCCTTGTTTCTAACAAAGCATACATCAATATAGAGGGAATCAAGCAATAGCCACCTGTTGTCCTGCTTGCCTCGGTGTGCGAAAACTAAAGGCGTCCAAGTAGACCGCCTTCGGGATTTGAAAACGGAATTCGAAGTGTTTAGGGTTGCTACTGAAATCGGATGTAAAGAAGCTGCAGCTGTGTGATTCACGGCGAGCAAAACAGTCAGCCCTAATACTGTGACTACTGAGAGAGTATTCAGATTTGAGTGGGGTATGGCAGAAGATAGACAACGTGACAGAAAGGAAGCGTCAGCAGTAGCCTGCTTTCACTGTCCTCCTGTATGCACCAAGTAGGGCGACCCGGCTGGTGACATCACCCGACGACCGGTGTGGCATGAGAGTGTTGTTAGTTGTAAGTTTGATGGTTGTATGTTGGCCAGGATACTGTCAGGATGCTCACACCTAGACAGGAGGGCGATAGGGGTCTTCGACATAAGCCTTTAGCTCAAAAGCCTGGCCGCAAAGCAGCAGTTTTTTTTTGCGAGAAATGCCAATGAATCACCATGCTTATAAAACATGGTGCTTTTCAAGATTTATTCACCGGAGGAAAGGTCAGTTTTCCATCACCATCAATTCATGGCATACCCTAACTGAAGTCGCAAAAAAGGGCACGGAGATGATTAGAAGAGGAGAACCGGTCATACGGAGACCTTTAGTTCGGCAGCTTACAACAACGCGAACTACAGTGGTCCCGGTCGCAGTGGCTTCTGGGACACAATAAATGTGCAGCCAAATGCGAAAAAAATTGATAGGGAGGTCATTTCAACAACCATACTTTGATGGTGAATACTCGTTTGACACAGCACGCAGAAATCAATACCACTGTGTATGGGAGAGAAGTATACTTCCCTCCTATACACGCCCTTCGCGGAAGCAACTGGCCGGACAACCGGACGACTTGCCGGTCCGGTATTAAGCAAGGCTCTGATTGGCCGACTATCTTGACCTAACAGCTAACCATGGTCCATTATCCGCCTGTGTCGCGCATAGAGGGCATCAGAATTTCCACAACGCTGTCACCGCGCATACTTTATACTGTAATATGCACGCTATGGAAGCAACAGGGGACAGTGATTCTCCGAAGGCAGGTGCTCACGACAATTTCTGGGGATAGAAAACAGAAACAAAGCTCATGAGCCAAAGCCCAGTAGGCAAGGTTGTACATCACCAATACTTACATATGAATCAGTCAAACCGACAGACGCCGTATACTACAATACACGACGCTCATTACAAATGTTTTTGAACTGAATTTGTGCTTTAATACACGTCGTGGTCCTCTGGTAGTTCTTTTGACGGAAACGCTAGCTTGAATGAGACAAACTGGGAACTTAGGAGCTAAGGGTCACAGCGTTGACAACCAGTAATGGAGGACATTTCTCTGGCCTTTCGGATGTTCATTTGCACATTGGAAAAAGGGTTCCAAGTCAAGATTTATGACTGCCTTCATGAAGCCTCTAGTGAACCACCGGCTTACTTCCAAGCACCGCGAGTGAATGTTGTGGACGGTAGAATTGAACCAACAGTCAACCCTATGGTTCCCGAGTTGTGAGAAAATCCATAAGTAAGCAGGTGCCTTATACGGGTAATTTGAACGCTAGAATACTGAGGAACACTTCTGAACGTGACTCATGTACATAGCGGCCAGCAGTTGACGAACTTTTGGCGCGCTGTTTTCACCTTTACGAGTACAGCATGCCAGGGCGCACGGGCAGGCGCTGGTGGAACACAGACTACGAAACGTCCCGCAAGTCCTTCCACTAATCGTAGGGGTAACAAATAAAAGTAATCACCTCGAAAGTGGCACTTATGATTATCCGGGTTGGGAGATCCAAACAGCCGATGAGCCGGCCATTATGGAACCATCCCTAACTTGGAATGGTGATCCAAAGTTAGGTGACATCGGCGCTACTGCCCTTCCTCCCTCCCATTTGGTGCAATGGAACTAAACTCAGTGTAAATCTTGGGTGTATCCATCGTCTACAGTTCTCAGTTATTTGAAACGGAGTGGTCTTTGGGTGATGGCCCACAACACTTGAAGCAGGAGTGTTAGAACAGTGAGGTTGGTTCAGGCAATCAACATGTTCATAGGTACAAGAGCACCGATGCTGTCTTTCTAGTAAAAAGTACGCAGTTCGGCCCTAAAAACCGATTACGCGGATCTTTTACCGGTCGAACGTGACCGCCGGCGAATTAATAAGTACTGCCTGGTGCTACTCCAAGTCATCTACTCCTTGGAGCTAGACGGTTGTGCCTTACTCTTCGCATTCCGCTCCTCTCAGTTTGCTGAATTACTCGCTCTGAGCAAGGACCTCAAGGACAAGGCTGCAGCAAGAAGCATTTGCTGAGCAGTGAAGCTGAGTTAGGTGATCATGGGCTTCATATTACCCCGCCAATTCATGGGGTGAGTTGCGGTGGCTCGTTCTCACCCTCTGTGCTAAGAGCTAACTGGGGAGGATGGCCGAGTAGCACAAGGACCACTCTGGGAACACTGGGAGTAACCGCAGAGATCAGAGGCCTGGGCCGAGTCTTCCATAATCACATTGATGAAGTTTGGGAGAAGAGGTGAAATGGGATGTTCCTGTATGATATCACTCGACAGAACACCACAGACCTTCACGAATCATTTGGTGTTGGCGTACAGAAAGCTGAGGAGGGACAAAATCAAAACAGTCTTTCGGTCACAACAACTCTCTTCCATGCAATCCAAAGGAGGCGTGAACACTGAGGTACTGTCAGTTTTCCTAACCATGGATAGAAGCAGTCAAGATACACGAGTTTCGTGCGAATCACTGTACTTCTGAACAGTACGTCCGTGCCCTGACGATTGAGACATCTTGAGACCAAGGAGGGAAAAGAATTTATGGAAACACCTTTGCACTGTAGGCAGTGCCGCAGTGGCCGATGCTCAACTGGCCAAAGCAGCTTTGATGTCAATAAAAAATTCCCAATGTCGATTGCAAGGAACAATTCCCGTGCATATCATTGTACGAATGTTATTAGTGTATTCTCTGGCAGGACGGAAACCCCCATGCCTTTCACGTATCTACCATTGCGTTCAGCCATCGTTTGAGGAGTGAGACAGTAGGGCATCCTCTATTCCACCGCCACTAGGCAGATTCCAAATGGCTTTCACTGTTGGCATACCAATTTTAGATACAGAGATGATTGTTGATTCACCCCAGCACACAAGCAATCTCTCTTCACTGCA